TGTAAGCATCGGTAGAGGGTTTAGGGTGAGCTGGAGTGTGGGCGGGAGTAATGGATACTCAGGCTCTCACTGGCTGAAGTCAGTTGCCCATATTTAGATTAGTGTCATGTCCCTCCCTGGTTTGTGTTCAGCTGGGCTTTGGAATGAAAGACAAGATGTCTGGTTTGTGTGTCTCTTTCCACATCACATCACTGAAACTCACTGAGAGCTCGTTGACTGGCTCTGAAACGCACCTTGCTCTGTCATTTATTAGCTGTCTGGACATGACAGATTTGCTCTGTATCCTAGCTCATGATTGGTGGTGCAGATGGAAATGTAATGATTTATCGGTAACACTTTAACTTTTTATTCTATTAGTTTCCCCCGGGAGAGTCAAATAGTAAAATGCAGTTGGGGCTAAAGGGTAGAATTGTTAGAGGTTATTGGCCATTATTTCTGATCACATTGAGGCGTCTTACTGTGTATACACAGACTGGTACTGTTTAATAGAAATAGACATGATTAAATGAAATAAAGTAATCATAAAGAAGAAATGAGAGAATCTTCATGCCTGATTGGCTCATGGTTACTGACATTCTGTGTCACCGTGTTAGCTTCCCAAATTATCTCTTTTTTCATTTCTGTCCACGTTTGCAAGCAAAAGACTAAAAAAAGAGAGAGAGAGAGAAGAGGAGGTGCTCTTCTTTGCCTGACATGAAGCATCGACTCTTCGCTTCCCAGGCCTGCCACATCAACAAAGGGAGGATACTTGGCCAATGTACAAAGAGGAGGAACAAAAACAGCACCGAGACAAAAAAAATGAAAGAATCAACCACAGGAAAAAGAGAGGGAGGAGCAGTCTGTTCTGTTCAAACTGAGCTTGTGTACTGTGGTGATGGTGGATGAATATGCATTTATTTTACTCTCTGATGCTATTAACCTACTCCGTCTTTTTGTGTTGATGCTGCTACTACACTACATTATGAATGAAAAGTATTTTAGATTTCAGCTTTTTGAAAATGTGTGTAAGAAAAAAGAATCTGAATCCAAAATAAACAGCAGAGCATATTTTAAAATATGAAATACTCTCTTTGCTGCATGAAGATAAGTGTTTGGTGATGAAGGAAACGTTTTTGTTAGCCAGTCTGAACAGAATGAATCATCTTTGCAGTGCAGCATCTGAGCAGTTTATTTAAAACATATGGTCTTAGTTAAAGCACATTATCTAGCTCGGGAAAGAATTTGAAGGTCCTGGAACAGATTCTACTTTTCAAGCTACAAAATATAATTTTTGAATGCACAAGATCTCATCTTACTATCCCAAATAGTGTTAAAATACAGCCTGCATACTGTACAGTACATGCTGGCTTTGGATGTTAAAGGTAGATATGTCAGGTTAGTTTTTAACCTCTCACTGTCAAAATCACTTTAGTGTGTGACTAGCAGTTACAGAAGTGACACTTTTCATTCAGTTTTATGTTGTATTTAACTTGATAGTGGCCATGGCTTCTCACATTTAAGACAGGATCAACAGCTTCCTCCCCTTCAGTCCCTTCTGACTCAAACCACTGCACTTATCTTGCAGAGCCACTTGGGTTATTGTTAGGCTTGGCAACAAATGGGATAAGGTCTGTGTCAAGAAAGGCTCTCATGATTTTGCATTTAGCTATGGAGATTATATACTGTATATTAACCCCTGAGAATATAGAGCTGGTAAACCCTCAGGCCTGGACTCTTCTCAGCCCACTGCCTTTCCCTGAAATATGCTGAGACACTCAACAGTCTGCATTCCTACTCCAAACAGTTTTCCTAAGATGAGCAGTTTAACAAGATGCCGAACACGATCTGCTTTTCCTACCACCTGCAATAGAAATAGCGGTGTAGTTAATGTAAGTCTGTTGTGTTGTGTGCATCCACCTTTCTGTTTCTACAGTATGTGCACATTGAAGCTGTAGATTAGATTCTTTGCACTTCATCCATTTCACTTTTTGTGCCACATCCTCACTCTCCACCTCTGTGAACTCATTCTTCTCCTTTAGGCCGCCCCCCCCCCCCCCCGCCCATCTCTCAACAGTAGAAGGGAGAGAAGCACTGAGTCTTAGCCACCCTGAGGCGATGCGAGAGTTCACGAGGTGGCAGTGCAGACCTTATGTCAGACTCAGACCCACCAAGCATTGCCCATAAGTGTGTTTTTACATAAGGAGACAACTACCACAATCTGAAATCATACCGTTTGTGTTTAGACTGTGAAATTGATGGAGGTTGTTTTTGTAGATAGAAGTATTTGCAGAATTTGATTTCTGTGTTGTCTTTCCTTGTGCAGTTTTGTAATCTGCAGATGTTTAGATTATCTAGTTCACAGCAGTGAAGTTTAAGAAAAGATTATAGCCTTGAGACACTCCTCCCACTTCTAGCTAGATTTTTTTTTTTTTACATTTTCATACCTAAATGCTACCCAACACACAGAAAGAGCGAAAGCAGAGGAGGAAAAGAAGCATGGTTTGGGTAAATGACGGAAAGGGCATCATCTATTTTTTCTGTTGCTGCAAAAGTTCAGTTCTTTAAACATCTGGCTTCACTTAAAGCTGTGCTGCTGGCTGCATTGTGCTCAGCTCTGTGCTGTGACTTCAGCTTCAGAAACAGAACCTTAAGCAGGAAAAACGAAAACAGACGCGAAACAGTCGGACCTGAGATTAAAAGGTTGTTGGTTAGTCACAGAATACATACTGTATGCCTGTATACCATGCAGATTTCATCTCTGGAGTGAAACAGTGCAGGGGAACTGTGGACTGCTGGCCAGTTTGTCCACAACTGGGGGTGACCCACTAACGCTAATCACATATGATGCACTGCTAAAGACAGAACTTCACCGCACTGTGACAAGCTATGACAACATACTGCTTACACATACAGTGTAGTTTTTAGTGTGAGGACTTTTACTTCTGATATTTAATTACCTTTCATTTAATTTACTGATAAGTCTGTACTTTTTAGTGCCATAACCTTTTGAATTAATTTTAAAAAAGAATTCTGAGTTACAGTTATTTTATTTCCAAGTTTATGAATCGACTTTGACTCTCATCCAGATGCTTGTTACACCCACTAGTTTGTGTCATTCATAAACTCCTGTCACACCTGCCGTGGTCAGATAAGTGCAGAGATAAGCCTTTAGCTTTGTGTGTAAACAGTGAGAGAAAGTGATTATATTGATCCCTGTTTGTCGCTCCAGTGCCTTTAGGGCAGTACAAGGCATCTCACCTGTAGCTATGTCTATTCCACCCACCCACACACACCTCAACACACTGTACAGGTCTTCTATGATTTTTTGATTTGCACAGCTGGCCATGCATTTTGAGAAATTCTGCTGCACATTTTTTTTGCCATTTTCTGACATTTTGTTGACTAAGCAATCAGGAAATTGGCCAGTAGATTAATTGCTTTATTGGCCACGTGTGTTAGGCACATGAGGAATGCAGTGGCTCTTAATGTGTATGATCAGTGTTCTTCCATAATGCAATGAGGAAGCAAGAAGAAGCATTCTCTTGACCTGTGAGGTTCTCCATGGAGGGCAGGCTAACACAGAAAAGAACCATTTTTGTCGACCTTCTCTCCTGTCACAGCTGTTTTATGTCTTTAATCTGGTTTGATGCTGTTCTAAAAACCACAAACAAATAAGAAAGAGAAAGCCTTCACAGGCCTTCTGGTAATAAAAGACATAAGCCATCAAATGGAGAAAGATAATTTAATATGCCCAATACTATATGTGCACAAATGCAGGCTCTTGTTGGCATGAGGGACACAGGGTGCTTGGATCAGCTGCTTTCTTTTAGGAAAAAACTAGAGACCAGGAGAGAAAAGGTGGAGTCTCTCATTGTGGTCCAAATGTCTTTGTCTGTGATGCACTATTTCACTGGGGTAGTTTAACTACCCCAGCCTGCTGGATGGTCAAACATGAGTGCAGAGAGGATGAATCATGAGGTAGAGCACCTCATCAGTCTTTCCTTGTTCTTTGCGTCTGCAACAGAGACAGCAGAACTGAAATGAACTGGCTTAAATGTATGTACAACTTAAAAACAATTCTATTATGAGCTGAGTAGAATAATGAGTAGACAAGCATCCCCAGTATTTTCCACTTGTATGTAGTCTAGACTGAAAGATCTTCCTGGCTACATGGCCCTACTGCTGAAGTGAAAACATGCAGGTACAACCCCTGTGGGATCGTCATGCTGTGAGACTGTGTCCTCAGACTTGGAGCCAATGAGCTGAGGCCAAAGAAAACAGTGCTCCCCAAAGGGAGGGCAAAAGCCACACTCAAGATTTTACAGGATATCAGGACCAAGGAATTAGTGTCAGTCAGCTGGAGACCAGGGCTGAGAAGCAACAGACGACATCCAGACTGTCCCCACATGTTTGTTGGTCTCAGAGGGAGAAGACCTGGACAGATTGTGTCGTGTAGCTTTTGTTTTTATTGACGGAACTTGTCGATGATAGTGATAGTCAGTGTCCAGTTCTCCTGAAGTAAACCGACTAATCATAAGGATGTGATGTTAAAATGTTTAGTTGTAGCACTGACACTTTGAATAATGCATGAATAAAGGACATTTAGAATTCATGAAAGCACTGTGGATGCCACCTTCTGGCCAAACGCTTCTCATATGTGTGTTAAGTGGGAAAAGTACACAGTTGGTATGTGAAGAGCAAGACCGGAGCAGATCTCAGCAAACTGTGTAACACTTTGGAAAAAGGGAGAAGTGTGTGGTAAAACTGGGCTCTAACATAAAGTAAATGAACCAATTTGCTGCATTCTTTTCTAATAAATATTACATTAAGTTAATCCTGTTTTAAACAGACTCATAAACCTTCATTTTTAAATGTTTTAGCTGCATCTATTGGTTTACCTCTGCTAAGAAATGATGAGGCAAAAAAAAAAAAAAACTCAAGTCACATTTATTTAAAGAGAATTTTGTTCTACAGGGGCTTTAAAATCTGCACAGCATTCAACACCTTATGTCTTTAAAGTCTTGATTCAGATAAGGAGAATGATGGCTGTCTGTATCACTGCCACGTGAGGAGTCGTCTCTTGGCTGGAATCACACCCTCACAAGAGCCCCCTCTAGTGCACGCTGTCTCCGAGCATTTACCCCGACTTCACAAGCTGGCTCATCATGTAAACATAGAGCTGAAGGAGCATTGATGACGAATGCAGATGTTACTGTGATGAGGCTACTCAGTGGACTGTGGGCTGGTTCAGTGGAGAAGGTGAAATGTGAGACTCTGTGTGATCATGTGCGAAGCATCTGCTGGAAGGAGGAGCTGCGTTCACATAGAGCAGATGGACGTAAAAGACTGAAGAGATTAGCTCTTTCATCCAGCCACAGGAGCATTATTATTAGTAGAAAATGGGTTTCTTACCCTTGTAAACAATAATAATTTTTTTTTTGCCTGTTTAATTATTCATATGTAACATTCCCACATTCTTGCCATGAACTTGAAACCATCTAACACTTTCAGTCCTGGACTGTTACCATCAGCACAGTTCTGAGACACTGTAAACTGTGATCACACAATACAGCGTTGTGGCTTTGTGGTTTAAGCAGGTGGTGATTACCTTTGTTTTCTCTGTAACAATGTGCCTCCCTCCCATTCAGTTGGCTGCATTTCCTCAAATAAAGGGACCAAAGCACTGAAGTTGAAATGAGATTTTCATGCATCAGTGGGATCCCTAAAGACAACCAGAAAGTCAAGCACAACTGTTGGTCGTAGCAAAGGTGAAGCTTTCTCTGTATTATATTATTTTATATAATATAATAAACAAATCTAGGCCCACAGTGGCACAGGATAGCAGCAGTGTGAGGGAATGCTTATTGTGAATGCTTTTTTGAAGGACACGATGCTGCTGTATACAGTATCTCCTTTTCTCCTTTTCCCTCTCTCACCCAAATTCCAACCTGCAACAGTCATGTGCAAAGCAGCTTCACAGGAAATATTACAGACAGCTGAAAAGAGAAAGAAGAGGTCTTCCAAGATGCATTCCTTACTTCACTTGGTGGGCTGAGAAGAAGCAATATATTGCTTCTTATGTACAGTAGTGCTAGAGTGAGTGAGTAATTAGAGCTCTCCATCATGACAAATGTAAATCCACAAAAGGTTGTAAACATGTTAAAAGTATGTAAAACTCATGCACTGGCCCCTTCATTAGGTAAACCTATACAACTGTATGCAATTCAGTGGAACACTTCCGCCTTAGCATCTGTGTGTACATGCTTGTATGAAAAGTGATGTTTGCATTTACGAATCTTCAGTTATCAAATAATCTGCCCAGATTTCTCTGCCAACAAAAGCACAGGAGAGTTATTACAAGTTATAAGGTGAATTCACCTCTGAAATTAGGGAGAATTGAAATTAAGGCTGAAACCTGTGAATAGTCTGCTGATTATTTTATGTGAAAGTGGAACCATACAGAGTAATTATTACCCCAGTCTGCAGCTTCCCTCTGCTCTATGGAGCTTTACAGTCCGTTTAGCTGTGCAGCCACAACTTTACCGTTTTGGTTCACTCATGCAGCTTTATAGCATCAATTTGGCTGTGCCAGAAAGCTAAAGTTCTAAAAGTCTGCTGTACACTTCCTGCTCAATAACAACTCATTGTCAGACAAGGTTAGAAACTAGCTGGTGAGCACTATAGAGCATTCAGCAGCTAAACAGCTACAGTAGATCTTTCCTTGGTGAGTTGGTGGAGACCAAAAGCAAAGTGAAAAGAGAACGAATATTGGACTTGCATTCATCATGTGGCCAGAGGCACAGGCCCATATGAATGCTGATATTGCTTCATAACTGCACGATGTGTAAATTAGCAACAGTTTGCTAAGTTCACCTAATAAACATAAAAGGTCAGTGTTGTGTTCACAACGTTTTTCTGCTGCCCCTAGCTGGCTAAAACCCAGTTACAGCAGATTTAAGATTACAAAAGCTTATGAAAAATCAGGAATGTTTCCTAAAGTACAGCTGATGCCATTAAAATGTTTGTTTTCATCAGTCAGTAGTCAAAAACCTAAAAATACAAACAACAACAAAAAAAAAACAGCAAATCCTCCTAATTGTGAAGCTGGGATTTGGGAAAATGTTATATTCCTTTGAAAAATCACTCTAAGAATTAATAAATGATCAAAATAGCTGGAAATTTTGTCTATCAGTTGATTAATCGACTAATCATTTCAGCTTGAACTGAAATTATTTTTCATCGACTAGAGTTTAGAGGAGAGAACGCATAATAAACAGTGTACAGCTGCTGGTCTGAGCTCTAAGTGTGCTGTGGACTCAAGCAAACCGGTTTGAGATTGTAGAAAGAAGAGGAAAGAACTGGGGAAGCTGCCATTTTCCTTTCCATTTAGACTGAAAGTTGGCCTGAAACAGCAGCTTTCAGCCAACATCAGAGATCAGGTCTGCGATCTGTTCAGAGCTAGTCTGGTTTGTTTAAAGCCACAGAAACAGACATGAAGAAATATGGTTTTTCTTTCTCTTATGTAAACATAAATTAGTTCATTTGCCTTTAAAAGCTAATCTGTGGCTAAATTTAAAGTTGTTTTAAAGTTTGTCACACATCACCAAAAGTTGGTGGCTAGGAAGGAGGGAGCCTTGAAAATGTCTGGTGTTTTTATTTTATCACCTGCTCGTGCATGTAAGCACTGTTCGATCTTGGGTACTATCATCTGAGTCTCTCTCAACTGGGTCTTCTGAAACTTTCATATTCAGACTGGTTGCAGCTGTGGCTGTTGGCTGTGGGAGGCTGAAGCAGGCCAGTGGTGGGGTGGAGCTTCAACATCTGGAAAAGAAGGAAAGCTGGCTGAAGAACCCGGTAACATGAATACTCTGTGAGCCAGTGCTGCCGCTACAGTGATTTTACTTTACTTTATGTAAAAAAAAAAAACATTTCAGGTGATATTGTTGATAGCATTGATTCACAACCTCTGTAGTATTCATTTTATTTAAAAGCAAGAGCAGGACAGAGTGGCAGACACTGTGGAAAGAGCGGACTGCTGTTGTTAAGACCTGGCCCTCTGGGCCTCTTCTGAAGTTAGAACGTGTCTAAACATGTGGGAGCTGCCTGCAAGAGGGAAAAAGAGAAAGGGAGTGGAGGTGGTGCTTGTGCTGGTCAAGGAAAACTTTAATTCCTCCTCAAATGTGCCTTTTTTAGCCATGATGACTTGCTTTTGTTTCAGGGTTGTGGATGTCTTATTGAAATAGCAGGTTAGAGTTCCTCTTTAGTTTATTTTCTGCAGTTACATTTAGCAGATTTTTATCACTGCAGATTTGAAATGGTTTATGTAATAAGTAGGAAACACACTGATGATACACTTCTGTGGCTGATTTTTGAATTTAGCTTAACATCAGCATGCTTGCACACTCGCAGTCATAACGCTAAGATGCTCGTGTGTTTGTCATGTTCAGAATCTTAGTTTGCATGTTACAGTAGCTTCAGTAACAAAGCATACCTGAGCTTGATTAAAATGCCATGAACTTTGTAGGGATTTGGTCATTTACCAGTGGACCGGACAGAATACAAACATGACCTGATAACGGTGCCAGATTAAAAAGTCAAGGAATCATCCAAGTTATCCAAAGTTCATCTTGGGTGACTAAAAACAAACATGTTAATCTCACGGTGCTGCTAGGGGAGAAGTGAGGGGATCACTCTCATCCTGTGAGGACAGATCAACCGCCACTGAGCCACGCTGCCAACAAACTGTAGCTCAAAATGTGGGTTAACTTTACTCCAGAAGTCAAAAGATGAAACAACTAAGCTTAGGTTGGTTTGTTTACAGCTGTGTGAGTCAGTCAGAGCGCAGTGTAGGAAAGTAAGCATTATTATAGATGTCACATTTACCTCTGGTGAAGTAATGCACTCTATCATGCCATGGTAATTATATATTATGGTCTACTAACTCCCAGCCAGGGAAAGGCAATATAATTAACTCCTGTCCCTCCCAGTTTGCTCCTCTGTTCTTGAATTTGCCTTAGTTTAGCCCTTTTATTCTCAACCACTGAAAGAAAAAGCAGTAACAGCAGTGAACAGGTACATGTAGCAGCAGTGACAGAGCGGGCTTTCCCTTGGTTTGCACAGCAGAGCGATGGAGGTTAGCGGAGTGAGAGGTGCACTGGCATCCTGCACACAGGGGGCATTCTTCTCCTCAGATCCCTCGGTCGTGCCCTACAGACCAGAGTCTGTCAGCCGGGCCGCACACTGTTCACTGAGGAAATGTTCACTTAGTGCAGGAAGTCTGAGGTTTCCCCAGTATGTTTGATTTCAGCAGTTACCCAAAAAACGCCAGGGTCAGAACAACATACCGTAGGTGGGAACTAAACCCAGAGGGGGCTTTACAGGCTCAGTTCACCAGTAAGTGGTATATAAATATTAATTACCCATTACACCTGATGCCATAGCTTGATTATTCTTGATAGTTTTGGAAAGAAAATAGATTAAAGCACATAAAGATTTACAAATGTAGGCTTTTAGCAAATGATGGTTCCATACTGTCCTGTTAAATTCCCTAAACTGATCTCATCAACAGAGGAAAACATGTTTTTTCCATATAATTTCTTTATTGGGAGACTATTGCATCTTTCAGAGAGACATCTCTGTGAAAACAGTGGTGCTTGCAAATCGTTACACAAAGCTAATGAAGTCTATAGCTGATCTTTCTATAGGTTTTCAAGTGTTTGGTAAAACCTGTCAGTTATATCACGTTGGAAATGTTTTGAGCATTTGGATAAACATGTTCAACACAAAATTCTTTGTATACATCACCAAACTGGCATTAGAAACTCTTTAAAAATTAAAGCATGTGGTTCAGACCAGTGGCTCTCAACCTTTTTACTAAAGAGATCCTTGCTTTATTATTGAGCACACTAACAACCACACGCACTATTACAAATGGAAAAAGAGTACTTTTTTTAACTGTACAATTACCAAATTATTGAAATTTAAAAAATATACATGGCACATTTTCTCTAAAAATCACTGAAAATATATTTCTAGATTTGTTTTATAGACTCCCATTTAAATCAACTATATTGAGTCATATAAAATCATCTCTCCAGTGCTCCATGCCAACTCTTCAGCATATACTTTTATTATCATACTATGTACAAAGGTGTACAAAGTGAGAGCCTGTAGCTTTTAAATGGTTTGTAACCAGCTAATTATGATGAACTGATGCAAAAATTATTGTTTAAAATTTGTCATTCTAGTCTGTTAGCATAGATCACCACACTGCAATGATTCTGAATCATTTTACAGTCGATGATCTCAAGCTCACGTTAACTGACAGACTTGAGAATGGTGGGAAAGCTTTAGCTCAAAAAACAAAAACGAATCATTTTTGGACAAGTTGTGTTCATGGCAGTTTGATATCTTCCTACTGTTACAAACAGGACATCACATCTGGTCCTGTAAATGTCAGAAAAGTGCAAAAAAGGAATTGGTATGTGAAGACTTTGTAATGTTAGTATATAGAGTAGATTTAGGGCACACTGCTCATGTGATCCTTAAAGGTTTTCACTATAATCAAGGGCCCTTTTGCACCAGGTTTGTGCAGCTTCACTAATGTCCTGCAGGGGAAGGAGAGAGCGTTCTCACTGCAGCTTCTCTTTTGCCAGCTGGGCCAGCTCTCTGGCTTTCTTCCTCTTCAGTTTCTTCTTGAGGAGGAGCAAGTCGAGGTAGACGATGTGACCTAACACTGTAGAGGCACAAAGGAGTCCACCATGTAGAGCTCCTGCTATCCCAGAGCTGAACACGTCTTGGCCTGGAGGAGGCAAATACATACACCCCGCTGGATGAGACGTAGGTACCTGAAGTCTGGGTTCAGGTGATTGTGTTTCCTGCTACATGATGTTTTTCTTCACAAGCTTTGTGAATCGATCTCAGGGCCTGTTGAGCACTTCTACACCTCTGACACTCAGTCACAAAACAAAGAATTGACTGTAGTTGCAGAATGTTTTAACATTTAGTAATTGGCCAAAAGTTTGTATAAATGTTCCTACCTGAGATGTACAGGTTTTTGACAGGAGTGTTGCACCTGCTCCTTGCCACAGCCTCAGCATGAAAACGGTCCAGGTTGAGCTCAGCTGAGTACATAGCTCCACGCTGGGCACCCAGGTAGTGCATGTTGGTCAGTGGGGTCGCCGCCTCCTGGAAAACCAGCTGAAAAATAAGTCATACAGATGCTTTAAATCAGCCTCCACTTTAAACATTAAATGTGTATGAAGCAAAGTCATGAACAACATACATTACATGGATGTACTGTATGAGAGGGAATGACCAGTCCTACCTTGTCTCTGAGTTTAGGGAACACAGTGCAGGCCCAGTCAAAGAGGTTCTTAGCAAATCTCATTTTGTAGTTGTAGTATTCGTCACCCCTTTTATGCACAGTTGTGTCCTTCCATTCCTCAAACCATTCATACTTCACCATGGTCAGTATCGTCATACAGGATTTTCCTGTGAAAATCAAACACTCAGGACACCACGTCTAATCTGTATGGAAACTCAGGTGTGATATTATTTGAAATGCTGTGTCAGATCGTATTTAAAAACACAAAAATAAGATGTTGTAGTTGCCTTACATCATTAAAACTAACCTTCAAGCTCCAAATAATCCTGTTACTACTATTACAGCCAACTATAGAAGATGTGGTGAGTTTGTTTATACCCGGGTGCCTTAGTTTGGCTTCTGGATCTTTGGAAGACGGTATTGTAATGAACATCATGGGAATGTTTTCTGGTGCTTCCTCTTTGCTCAGTGTGAAGAAGTCATCCATCCTAAAGAAACCCATGAAAATGTAAAATTAACATCTTCATTCCTAAGTCAAGGTGTCCGGGCTGTATCGTCACTGTGATCACACATGAAAGAATCTATGAGTATGATGTTTTAAACCTGCAATTGAAACCTGACTGACCCTCTGCTCCATCTGGAGGATGAAAAATGAACTTTTTAGCTGAATAAATTACATAAACGTTGGCCCTGTTGCTCCCAGCAGGTCTAAACTGAGGAGTCAGTTTTACCTCTGTGAACTCGTTTCATTACTGCTTATACAATAGCACCGCCTTGTGGTTACTGGAGGCTACATCCCTATTCAGTGTGATTGGTTCTTACGACTTGTCCATGTCGTTGTTTTTGAACAGCCAGAAGTTTGTGGACACAAGGCCCAGCTCCTCCTCGGTTCCGTCAAAGCCAGAGAAGAGCAGCAACGATCCTCTGCCATGTTTCATCAGGTTCAGTCTTTCCTGAATATCTATAACATGTAGAATCACCATATAGCTCTTGACAAATGAAGTGTTGATATACTGTATTTGAGATTCTGTCCATTTACTTGTAAAGAGCAAATTCAACTGCTCACCAGGTTTGACCTGAATCTCAGGTGGAAGAAGTTTCTGGAAGGTGCTGAAGATGCCACAGTTTGAGACAATCACAGGTGCATGGACCTCCACTTCCTCCTGTCCTCTCCTCACTTTCACACCTGTCACATGACAAAGAAAGACAGCCTCACCTAGGTACAACCTTAACTTGCTATTTTAACAGGCAAAAAAATAATAGAGCTGGAGTCGCTTCTCACCGTAAGCTGTTCCCTTCTTGTTCACCAGGATCTGGGAGACAGGCGCTCTGACCAGGCAGTTTCCTCCGTATTTCTGAATGGTGCGGATGATATTAAAGGCGATCTCGCTGGCCCCACCTTTAGGATAGTAGGCACCTCGCTTGTAGTGGTGAAGCATGAGAGCGTTGATCAAAACACTGGAGTCTTTTGGAGGCACACCTGAACATACACAGAGCAAGGGCTGATTTTTCAAACTCCTACTGTCATCTTGTTTCAACCAATCCCATGTCCAACCGTCCAATTTTATATTGCAAAGCTCACTGGGCATATGCCATGGCTTGTAATCATAATCATTTCAAAATAATGTTCCTGGACAATATGGATAATGACTAAGATTAATAAAAAAAAAACACCATGAATTGTGTCTCTTTCTACAGTTATAACACAAGTATTAGGACAGTTTCCATTTGTTTTGGGGTCTTTACTGTGGCACATTGGATTTGAACTAAATAAGACCAGGATGCTGACTTTCAGCTTTAATTTCAAGGTGTTCACGCCCATATTGTGGACCTGTAGGAATTGTAGTTATTTTTATACATGCTTCCACATTTTTTGGCTAATATTCTGGCTATTATTTTGGGTAATTTTCTGCTATAGTAATATGTTTTGGGCCCACCATAGAAAAGATAAGCGAAAATGAGGTGGAGATCCTTGTTGCTGGTCAGGGTGCTGGCAAAGTCTGTTGCACATGTGCCAGACAAGCGGAACACTGGGGAGACGAGGTCTGCGATGCCTGACTTGAGCAGGAATAGAGACAACCACAGAGGGATCAGCTTCAGAGTTGCCAGATAGTTTGTCTTCTTAGCTGAGATCTGATGGAACAGAAGGGAGTTGGAATGGGTTTTTAATGTGCATTTAGCATTTTGTACAGATGACAGAGTGAACTATGTCTCCGCTCGCCCCTCAGTACCTTCATGATTTTGAAAAATGCCTCAATGGCCTCAGTGTCATCAGGGAATTGTTTTAGCAGATGGGCTTTCATCTCAGTTTTACCGGAGAAGATGGTGTACTCTCGCTTCTCATCACCCAGGCCAATCTGGATAGTCTCAAAGTGTTGGTTTAGCAGCTGGAACTCCAGCTGGCCCTCAGAGAGCTGGTCAAAAGCGACACGCAGCAGACTGTTCTCATGAAGCTGACCAATGTAGTGAAGCCCTGGAGAAGACAGAGTGAGAACCAGGAGCATAGTGCATAGTTACCTCCTGTAGATTCTGAAGGTACAATGGCATTTATCGCCTCTGAAAAGTCTTCACAACGTTTATTCTGAAATTCCATGTTCATCAAACAAATGTCAGTAAATATGTCAAAGCTAAAGTGAAAAGTGCCTTCATCTGCAGTTCCTTTATGACTTTATGAAAGGAAGACTGCTTGTGGCATGTTTTTTTAATTGAGGTGTCTCAGCTTGAAGCAATTAGTAGTCAAATGATAAAATTTCACTTTCAGGCTTTTTTTTTAAATTGGTAGTTTTTAAAGCAAATTTTTTTTATTTCAGCTTTTTTTTTTTTGTCACATTGAGTAATTGTGAATTTTATTAACTGGTCTAAAGATCACTGGGATGAAAATAGTCATTATTTGCAGCCTGAATCTCAGTCAGACTCAGCCAGGCTTTCTCCCCTTAGACCAAATCTGAATCCGGATTTCATCCCAACCTGAAGCTTCAAAATGTCCCTTCTGAAAATGTGCAGTTGATACATCCATGGTTCTCTACATTCCAGTACATGTTGCTGCCAAAAACATTGCTGAATTCATTTTTAACATTCCAGTAAATTGTATTGAATGGCCTCTTGCTGATTAGAACAGAAAACCATTCCACATATTCATTTTCCATATGTTGGTGCCGCACACTCCCTTGTGTGCAGCTGGTGGTTCAGTACTTACTCCTGCACTGCTGTGGCGTGCTGATAGATACAGTAGGCCCACTGGGCCCTGAAACATTAAATAGCTACAGTGAGGCAAATAAGTATTTGATACACCACTGATTTTCCAAGTTTTCCCACTTACAGATCTGTCCATTCTCTGTAAGTGGGAAAACTTGAAAAATCGGCGGTGTATCAAATACTTACTTGCCCCATTGTATCACAGTGACCAGATTGTTCACCTCATCTGAAGTGAAGAACTACTAATGTTAGCCAGTTACACTTATTGCCAGCACTGTTCTACCAGTGCCATAGTCATTGTGCCAATTGCATGCATCACAATTCTTCTTACCAACATCGAACTCAAAGCCTTTCTCTATGTAGGTGTGAGTGCAGCCTCCTGCCTGGTCATGTTGCTCCAGCACCAGGACTCTCTTTCCTGCTTTGGCCAGTGTGGCTGCAGCTGTCAGCCCACCGATACCACTACCGATGACGATGACGTCCAGACTCTGAGGCACCTTGCTGAGTTTGAAACCTGGACAGAAACATATAGAACTGATGGTAAGGTGGCAGAATTAAACCCTTTAATTAATGTGCATTGCATACAGTATTTTGGAACCAATTGTGAAAACTGAGACCTTGATTCTTGTTGCATAGGTTGCATAATACAGTGTGAAGGTTGCACTGCACGCCTCTCCTGTCATAAATACTGTACATGACTGCTGAACTAATCTGTGATCTCCAGTTGGCAGTAAACAGATTAGACTGCCAACATAATCTCCTGGTCACATGACAGTCAATATAGGACTAATCTAAATTTTGAGTAATAACAGCAACAAGTCATTTAGATAAAATTATCAGCACAGCTCTGCAGCCATAAAAGCCAGAGTTACCTGAATAGCAGAATCCTTTTAAAGCCCAATTTATAGTCTATTTTTACCTATTCCTTCATCTACCACTGGTTCACCTTTGGCTTAATTACAACAATATGAGAAAACTCCTTAGTATAATATGTTGTAGTTTATCTTCAAAAAGACCAACAGGGTTTTAAGTTGAACCCACATGAAGTGAAAGTAGGACAGCCCAAAATGGTGGCACTTGGTGGTCCCCCTTCAGCATATGTCACCTTTAAACATGTAACATATCTGTAAGTGGCTATAAGGACATCCTACATGTTTATTAATGTACAGTTCTGACAACAGTTATAATCTCTTCCTATTAAGATACTGCATATTACAGCTGTTTTACGATGTTGTCATTCATTATGTTTACACACCAGCCTCCACTTACAGGAGTTCATAACAAATACTTTAAAATATTTACATTGGCTTACAATGGCCTTATAATAGTTTATACTGTTGTAAGGGAGTTTTTTCTCATTCTGGATGAAGGTTGAAGAAAAGGTCCATGAACCGGATGCTTAGTTTGAGTTGCATTAACAGTTTTGTGCGTTTTCAGCATTTTTACAGTGCAGGTGTATCCACCTGCCAATGATCAGTATTCAGTCTAATGTTAATGTTAGATTGTGTAATCACGGGCTAAACTGGTAGAAAATACACTTTTTTTTAATCAAGTCATTGCATCACATTGTCAAGTAAATGCGATGCTGAATATGGGACTTTTCAGCTGCAATCATTTTACCTTGCTTGAGGACTTGGTTGCGCTTTCTCTGGTCAAACTCACGAGGTCCAGGTGGGCTCAGTGACTCCAGAGAGAAAGGGCTCGGCTTTCCAAACAGGTACCAGTATGTACCACCGGCCCATATGACCATCCAGACTAAGAAAATCAAGAGCCACATTCTAGAGTTGACCGGACTTGGTCCTGGTCTGTGGCCGAACGAGCGTTGCTCGCTTTATGCTTTGCGTCTCTCCACATATCCGCTCAGATCACGTGACGTAATGTTCGTCATCTCCCCAGGTCTGCGGGGGTCCGGACTCTGCAGAAGTCCGTGTGCAGGCCAAAACAGTGTGGTGTGTGTCGTCCGCACAGCAAAAGCCCCGACTGCGCATGTACCGCGTCACTGGGCAAGCGGCTTAGACTCTAGGCTATATGACGAGCAACATAGATAAATTTTATTAGATCCATGTATCTTGACATAATGGTGGGACAGTTATGTAGGCTATACACTGGTAACAGACGTACAGTACTGCTGTATTTCACTAACTTTAATGAGTCTGCATATTATGCTGTACTGGTCAGTTGTAAATCTTTAATCCAAAGGTTACAAAGCATTGTTTTTCTTCCTGTGCAGTATGAATATTTAGGCATTAAATTAAACTTACATGGATTAGATATATCTGCAATTGCTTTTATCTGAATAGGCAGTTAAGATAAAGATAAAGCTTTACATTGTAAACAAGTCATCCAGGACTTTATGTGCCGCAATCAGTTTTATGCCTTTACAGCTGAGTGAGATCTCTGAGTTTCAGCATTTTCAGTCTGATAAGGACAGACATGATGTCCTTGGGGAAGCATTTGGGCAAAGATGCAAGAAACAGACATTTCATGTTAAGGAGGATAATAAACTATAATCCAAGGTTGTCTGATCTCTGGGATAACAGTTTTTACTATCATTTCATGCGAATCTGCACTCCAGTTATGTACTGATTCAGTTAACTTTGAGCTAAAGATTTAATCTGCAGCCACTGATATGAACTACAACACAATCTGTTATGTTGGGCCCAGTGTATATGACAGACAAAAATATCACTTAAACAGGGAAAGCACTGGTGTAATTCATTTCAATGCAGTTTGAATCAGTACCAGATTTTGGTTGCTCATTTTAAAAGTTATAGCCGTTTGGATACTGAGAGAAATTAATGATAAAATTCAGTTTTTAAAAAAACATACAAGTATTTTTGAATTTAGTTTTTAGATGACTATAATCATTCAAACCTTCAAATTCATAAACAGGCCAAAAGTTACAGCTTCCTGGTTATTCATGAGCAACATTTCATCAAGTATGATATTTTGGTTGTCTACATTATCTCCACAACATGAAAATCAGATTCATGCATCCTGATGTGTAATTTGTTCACCAGCTCCAGTGTCCTTCCATTTATGACAATTTCAGCACAAACTGAACCATTTTGAGCTTCATAAACAGATGTTAAGGTGAAAGCATTGAATTGCATACAATTGTACCTAATAAAGCGGCCAGTGAGTGTTTGCTGCCTAAAGGTCATAGGACTGAAAAGAAAATGTGAATTTCAGTTTGAGTTTGTGTGTCCATTCTTAGTCTTAGAAATCAAACCTGCACATGCAAAAGTTATATTCATACCAATAGTCGTGTTAAATGATGATTACATGACCCTAACTGAGCTTGAGATAGAAGCTGGGATGAAGTTGCTAAGAAGCTTAAAGACTTTGCCAGAGGAAGCAGCTCTGTCAACCAACTGTGCCACAGCTAAGAAATCCTATTAGATAGCAGTTGCAGGACTCCTGTGACTCGCCCTGCTTCGTACGGTAACACAATGTGAGTGTCTTGTTGGACACCAAACATTTTGTCAGTCCACGTTATTAACCATTGACATGAAAGTGCAATAAAAGTGAAACATGCTGATGTATATCAGTCGAAGCAGCTTTACACTATTTGCATTTAATTACAAATTGACAGACATGTTCATACAAGCAGGTACATACTGTAATCCAGTGAGGGGAGGGTGGTCTCTTCTGGTGGCAGTGCTATTACAGGTCTTAGTTTTCTCACTAATGTACATTTGATCTACGAGCTTTACAGCAATGCAATGAACTCCCATAAAAAAACCCGACTTTTCCCAGGGTGTGTGTGCTACGTCACTATGCAGCCTCCCTTGTCTCCCTTGTAGGGGTTCTTGTCATCGGAAACACCTTTAATCAGTGGATCATTTGGCAGCAGCCCCTCAACAAAAGCAATCGTGTCTGCACAGTTTGGACCCACCTGATTTTCAGAGGTAGGAGAAAGAACAAATGTAAGCTCTGTAAAAGAACAGGCACAATAACAAACACTTATACTTGTGCTTCAGTTAATTAAGTGTTTATTTCCTCCAATTGTTTCCCCATTTTGTTTTAACACAATAAAGATAATTTGACAGGTTTTTCCACCTGTGATGGCAAAAAATATGAAAGTCTGTCAAAAGAGAATTCACTTACTGGTGTCCTGGCTGTGTTAACTTCCTTCTTCAACTGTTCCAACTCCATTTTCAAGATTTCCTTATCCGACATATCCCGAGCCATCCTGGCTACAACAAGAGATCAAAAGGTCTCACAACAAATGTCTTTAAAATGTTCCCTTGTGAAGGTGCTGCGTTCTCTAGTTTCTCATGTTCCAGTTTTTCCTGAAATATTCATTTTAAAAACACAGCTTTGATAAAATAAACATAAATCCAACAAAGTACATCGGTCATCAGACTTTACCTGTTGAATGACAGGATCCCAAACAATGGGAAATGTGTTGGCTCCCAGGAGCTCTAGTCCTGTCGTGTGGACTCACTGACCGATCTGTGCTGTCCGCTGCTCTTCATCCCAACTGATCCCCCACCCCCCGCTGGTGGCTTTTGGGAAACATCGGCACAGGATTGGACCTGATGTCACCAATCCCCTGCGATAAGATTAAAAAATCAGGAGCCATAACCCCCGAACAGGAAAGAGGAGAGCACACAAATCCTTCCAGATCTGCAGACAAAATGGTGGAGAAAGTGAGACGCTGCAAAAGAAATAATGGATGTGTAATCACACCTGTGGTACACATACAAGATGTAGTGACTTCTATCGATTCTCACTTCATTTTTAACATTATACGGCATCAGCATTTAAATTATTTCAATAGTAGTAGTTTTTGTCAGGGCAGTGTGGAAAATACACCACAAAATGTAAGTGAACCCAATTAAATTATCAGTATAACAGGTAACGAGTAAGTTATGCAAAAAAAGAAAAAGCTACTGATCCTGAACTAAACCTTCAGTAGGACTCTCACTAAGCCATTTTCAGGATCTAGGTTCATCTCATTTATTCAAGATTAACCTCAGACATGGAGTTGTGGAGTAACAGGGAGACGCTCCTGGTCATTGTCACTGAGCACCTCCCTCATTTTCTATATCCTGCTTTAGTTCCACAATTTCAGTCACAACTTTTCATTGCCAAACTATTTTTTAAGCTAACTCTCAAACACTTTATTTAGTGCCTGATAATGCAATATATTGTATTAATATTTGCATATCTTTTTGTTAATGCTCTGCATGCTTATACATGATTTCCATCACTTTTGATTTCCATCACATTCTATCTTTCTTTCTTTTTTTTAGGAACACTTTGTAATATCTGACTAGGAGAAAATAGACTTTGAACTCTGGTGCTTTTGATTTGATTTGATTTGATTTATTCTTTCTTTCAAGCATGTAAAGACAGTCGATATGTCAACACACATAATTTTACACATATCCAACAAATGCTAATCCAATATCAATTTGCTTATACCTAGTACACGCTTGAATGGAGTAGGAAGAAGTCAGACTTATCCAGTCCTACCCCATGACATCATCTTACATCATTGGTTTGCAAGCAGTATCTCTACATAGATAATTCTCTTCTATACCACACAAGTAATATACTAAAGAATTATTACAGAGTGTTAACATTCTTACATAATTACATTCTTAAATAATTATCTTCTACACCACACAAGTAATATACTAAAGAATTATTAATTAAGTGTTAACATTCATACACCACACCCACAATGTTCCATCTGGTTAATCATTAAGCCTGTTCTTGCATATATTTTGATTGACACATACCTTTATATTTATGCTTAAACTCGTCAATTCTATTACTATTTTGCATCAATCTTTATTAATGTTCACAGATTTTTTTTATTTGACTGGTTTGCCTTACAGCAAACATTAATGAACAGTCCTGCTGGCTGTAAAATAAGCAAGTAAAAATAAATAAATAAATGAATAAAAGAGCCTTATTTGGATTTTCTCCAGGTCCCGTGAGTGCTCGCCAGCCAATAGGAGGATGCCATTGCGTTGGCTCAGATACTGTTTTCAAATTAAGAGCTTTTGAGTTACATTGTGAATTAAACACGCTTTCTCTGAAGCCCATAGAAAGGTACTTACTTTTATTTTGATACGCGTAGGCAATTTGGCCGGAAGTCCATTGAATGCAGTGTTGTTGGCGGAGAGGTGATCAGCAGCTATGGCGTCTCCTAGTAGAAAGCAAGTCTTAAGGTTTTTGAGCCAGGTTGGAGCGTTTATTTTGACCCGGTTTGGATTTTGGAACTGCTTCAGTATGTTGATGTTGTTCGCTGAACGAGCGGACTCAAAAAGGTAAAAATAGTGTGTGAATAGGGTGCTGTAAAATAGCTAACAAGCTAGCAGTAACTAATAGAATACGTTACTTTATTCATTCTAAAGTTAACCTAACTTAGCGTCAAACTTGGCGAAATATAATCTCCATTTTCTAGATAAGCAGTTGAAGATACATAATTAGACTAGTGAAGTTTCTGGGCAACGTGTGCTTGCTAACCGACCATTTGTATCTTTAAACGTGACGGCTTATAGGGTCAGTTTTCTAGCAATGAGCAGACCTTGGGTAGAAGGTTGCAGCCATATGGAGTTGTTTAAATTAAGTTAGGTTTTGCCTGTTCTTTGTCCTCCTGTAATTTTAGTCGGTCCTGGGACGTTTTGTAATTTCTCTTCTACTAATTGTAGTTTTAATCCGGCCTCTCTGGACGTGTATTGTTTCAGTTTGTTGTGAGTTGCATTTGCTAAAGACAACCACACCCTCTGAATATCCTGTAATTACTTCAAGGGAAACGTGTACAGCTTTGTTAAACTGCCTGCCTCTCAGCTGGGCTGTTTTCCCTCTCAGTCTCGAAATAGGTGTCTGTAAAGTAAGGCTATTTTGTTGCAACTTACAAAGCCTAGCTGAATTCATGTTTATTAATACTAGGGTTTTTCCTTGAACGTGACTAGCTCCTCGAGGTTCTCTTCATACAACACCTTTAGGTTGTTTGTCTGGTGGTCTTCTGTTGTAGGACACTTCAGGATAGTACTTTGTGTTGTGGAGAAAACATAAAATGAGCAATCAGTGTGAAAACAATAAGGCTGCGATTAGGGTAAACAACTGTGATTATTCTATCAATTAATAGTTTGATCAGTGTGTCTATTAAATATCAGGATAATCGTGATAGGTGCCTTCTAAATTTTCCCAAAGCCAAAGATGATGTATTGATGCTTGATATTGGTTGTTTTGGTCACCAGGCAGCCCAACACACTAAAGTATTCTGTGTACAGATATTATAAAGCAAAGCACAGAATCCTCATATTTAAGAAGCTCTAACCAGTGAATGTTTGGAAATCCCAATTAAATAAATAAAAAAAAAACAATTATGAAAAGAGTTGCTGATCAATTTTCTCAGCTACTCAGTCAATTATTTGTTGCAGCTCTAGAGAACTCACCTCCCTGGTCCAGGTGCTTTGTGCTGAAATCAAAATCAATTTTGGTTCCTCTATATGAAGAAATCTGGCTACAGCTATCAAGCCTACTGTATTAATTCATGCTGCAGTTACTCTGACAACAGTTTTGTCAATTCGTTGTTTGCTTCATAAGACAGCAGAAAGTAGTGAGAATCATTTTCTACAGCCCCATGGCCTTCAAATGTCTTTTGATTTTAACCATCATTGCAAAACCCCAAAATATCAAAGTATAAGTAACCATTGATCTTTGCAGCTCTGTTTTAATTTTCTATTAATTGGCAAAGCTCTAAATACAACAACATTTGACCAGTGGGTAATAGAATTTATAAGTAGTTGCAACCCTAGTGCTAAACAAGTAGCCGTTTTCTGCCATTGCACCAAAACTAATGAAGTGCACCTTGTTTTGTCTATACCTCTCTACAGTACAAAAGAAATACACAGTATAAAGTATGGCACAAATAAAACAGTAGCTGTATAACTGACGTGAAGCTCTTTTGATTGACTCCTCTTCAGGAAGCCGGACATCCATGTGCCCTACCTGTATGTGGACATGGGGGCTGCAGTGCTCTGTGCCAGCTTCATGTCATTTGGCGTGAAGAGGAGGTGGTTTGCAATGGCCGCCGCCATACAACTGGCTGTCAGCACCTACGCATCATACGTTGGAGGACAGGTGCACTATGGGGACTGGCTTAAGGTGAGTCACCTGCTGTGGTTTATAGTAACAAAACTCCACTGGAACACCTGCTGTGTCCATTTTAAGTATGATCATAGTTTTCTTTTGTCAGTGATGATATTGTAGGGAGAGTTGTTAGCAGGAGATCGGCCCAAGTCTTATGTGACATCATACAGTAAAGGAAATAATAAAAATATTTCTACATAAGACAAATTTAATTTAGCAGCTTTGTTGTATAATTCAAGTTTTTATTAACATTTCTGATACATGAAACCATAATGCAACATAATATAGCACTGTACAGGTAACAGAACAAACAGATCTGAGCATGTTAAAGTAGCTGATACAAACATGAAAAGTAAAAACAGTAGAAACGTTTATAAAAGACTTTCTTGATATTTGATCAGATTGCAGGTTGAGAGTCAGCATGGTAATGTCTGTCATTCATTTGAATTAATCCAAAAAAGGCTTTGTCTAACAGAACCGTCCCTGACGACACCTGTCAGTGCTAGTCGGTATTGTTTGACTGTCGCTGTTGTAGGAGGGACCCGTCTGCTGTCAGTGGCGCACATTACTTTTATACATATAATACTTTCTCTAACAGACCACCATCATTTTCCTCATATTTCTTCTCATGTGTTTAAGATCTATTTGGTTAAATATTCCACTGTTTGCTATTAGGATCTCAACGTCATTGACGCTGCACTGACATTGCAAGTTCAGCTGTTCAGTTCCAATTAACAGCTCAGCATTTTTTTTTTTTTTTTGTGATCATTATTCAGGATCAGTCTGAACGTGTAAGGTGTCATCTCACAGGACGTGATTTTACACATATGGTCTGACATGTTCCCCTGCCTCTTCTCTCAAATCTCAGCTTCTTTAGAGGTTATTTTTTAAGGCTCTTTGATGCTGTAGCTGCATTGAAATTTTCAAATTAGATGCCTCGTTTGAAACACTTCTGTCCCCCACCTATTGAATTTTGACTGTTCATAGGTCAAATTGCCTGAAAATTGGATGCATCAGATTTAGAAGAACATATGAAATTGGCTTTTATCAGTGTTGAAATATTAATTAAAAAGAAAAATAATGTGTCACCACTACCAGTCTGAATACAACCTTATAATGTTTTATCAAAGACTGACATTGTAGCAGACATTTGCCTTCATTTATAGCTTGATCTTTGTTGCCCTGCAGGTACGATTGTATTCCAGAGCGCTAGCGATTATTGGAGGCTTTCTGGTTCTGGCCAGCGGGGCAGGGGAGGTGTACAGGCAGAAACCTCGCAGCAGATCCCTGCAGTCAACGGGACAAGTTTTCCTGGGAGTCTATCTCATCTGCATGGTAAGACCCAAGTCAGTTTTTATAGGTTGTTGATATTGGGAAGGGTTCAGTGAGAAATTCTGGCACGACAGCTGAAATGAGACCAGTACGATTGTTTAAAGAAAAACTGAGCAGACAATGGAACACACTGCTCTGTGACCGCTGCAGATAAGAACCAGATTTCGTCTTCTGCTCCAAGATTAGTAGAATGGCGAAGAAGTAATTGGCAAGTAGATAATTACTCTCTGATTCCAGATTTTTAAAGGTAGGGTTGGTGACTCTTTTCAGAAGCATATTTTGTTACACCTTGAAATTCTCATTTTCTCATTACTCGTCCCAAAAAAAAAAAAAACATTGGATAGCCTACTTGCCTGTCACGTGCATTGGGGCAGAACTCCACTGTCCGGAGGAGAGGAGAATTGTAAACGTGCGACCGTGTAGAGACACAAATGATACGCCGTCGTGTAAATAAGATAAATAACATAAGGCTATGTTCTTTTATTAAACTAAATAGCCTTGTTATTTATCTTATTTACACGATGGCGTGTCATTTATGTCTCTACATGATCGCCCCCCCAAAACTGTAAGCCTAGGGGAAACGCTGCAAACCTGATGATGATGATGATGATAATGATAATAATAATAATAATGTATGCACTTAATTTCTGCATATGTCAGATCACTGCTGTACAAACCAGTCATTTTAAATAATGCTGTACCACTTTGCCCCCACTAGGTGTACTCGCTGCAGCACAGCAAGGAGGACCGACAGGCCTATCTGAACCACATTGCAGGGGGAGAGATCACTCTGATGCTGCTGGAGGTGCTGTTCGGGGTGCTGGCTCTAGCCTTCCTCTCCGGCTGCTACATCCGCTTGGCCGCCCAGATCCTGGCTACTGTCCTCCCCCTGGTGATATTGCTCATTGATGGCAACCTGGGCTACTGGCACCACACTCGCAAGGTGGAGTTCTGGAACCAGATGAAACTGATAGGACACAACGTGGGCATCTTTGGTGCTGTGCTGATCCTGGCAACTGATGGTTGAACCTTCAGTTTCTCACAGACAACTTTCCAGGCCCAGATGTCTGCACATGACGGGATTGTTGGTCTTTATGTCACAGCTCAGCTTTGTGCTCCAAACTGCTGTTGCTCAGTGACCTCTCCGGATTCAACCACTCCAAGTCTAGACGGTTGGCTGTAAGCCAGTTTAATGGTCTTTGCCTACCACTCTGTAAACTTTGCTTTTGCAAGGAAAAAGAAAAACCTTAGCTTCCTATTTTCAATTTAATAATTTATTTGGTTTTATGTTTATATTTCTGTCTGTTCATGCTCATTCGGAGCCAGAAGGAAAACAAATACAAGATCCAGCCATCTGGGACAGCTAACTGAAAGAGATGTACACTCACCGGCCGCTTTATTAGGCACATCTGTACAATTGTAGGCAATTCAATGCAACACTTCCTCCTCAACATCTGTGTTTATGAAGCTCAGGATGTTTCAGTTTTTGGTGAAACTGTCATAAATGTATAAATTCAATTATATGTTTATTATTGAGGTCACAGTTAAAGGTGCTTTTGTACTGGACTACAATATATTCAGAGGTGTTTCTGTATTTTTGTCCTCTCCAGCTATTAGAATACTAGAAAAGAAGGATGAATTGAGATGAATTTAACATGTTGGCAACAGTAAAATATTGTAGTGTAGTGTTATTCCCTGTTGCATCAAGACACCCCGTCCTGTCCAAGTAAATTACCACTACAAACCATAAGTAAATCATTTATTGCCAGCTAATAGATAGTAATGAAAATACTGTAAGAAAAAAATGCTTTAATACTTTAAATACTCATGTTTTTTTTTTAATGACGTTCAAGAGATTTGTTTGCCATTTACACAAGTACCGACAGTACAGGTACATAGGAATGTGTTGTGCATATCTCTTGAGTCTGCATACAAAAAAGTACAATGTAAATAGAGTGCAGGAGATAAAAGCAAAGAAAAATGTACACAACTATGCTGAAAAAGAATCTGGTTTTTGTCACTAATATACAAACAATAAAACTTTATTTTTAATGTTTTGCTATTATGGGAGTGTTAATACTAATGTGTAATGTGCCAGGGCAGTTGAATATGGCGGCTGAATGTACGGAGCTAATTTAAAAATACGTAATGTTTTGTATGTGGGGGCTTAATTTGCAAAGTGAGTGAAATAAATGTAGTGGAAGAAGAACTATATTTACGTTAGAAATGTGAAGTAGAAGTGTAAACTAACATACAATGGAAATAGTCAAGTAAGGTATAAGTACCTGAAAATTTCACCTAAGTGCAGCAACACCTTGAGCCACTAATGTAAACAGTTTAAGGTGTTATGCTGTCTGTTGACCGTTAGGGGACAGCTGCACTGATACACGTCGTTAGGAGCTCAAACTAAAGTAGGCGAAGAAGAACCACTTCCTGTTCAAATCCAAATAAACTAGAAACGTTGCTTCAGAAAATGTGAAACCACGTGTAAAAACGTCTTTAATATGTAACTTATCAGTGTTATGTCGGAGGTGTGCATGGACTTGCAAAGTCGTCTGGGAACAAAGTGGAAAGGTCTGTGTAACGTTTCTTTAGATCGTAGAATGATATTTTCACCTGCTGAGCTAGAGCTAAGTTAGCTAACTTGGCGAAACAGGTGTGTATACAAATAAGTGCAATGAAAATAGAGTACAGTGGATAAAAGCAAAGAAAGATGTACACAACTACGCTTTCTACAGCTTTTACTAATATATTCAAAAATCTGATTTTTGTCACTAATATACAAACAATAAAACATTTTTAATATTTCACTATTATGGGAGTAAACAGGTGTTCCTGAACTGATAACTGCCCAGTGAGACGCAGACCACAACCTCTCGCCCTTCAGGTAGCAGAAAGGTACTGTGATGGATAAAATTATGGCTGTGTGCTGGAACCAGTTTATTTACTTGGAATATAGTTAGCTCAAGATGACTTAAAATTGATGTTTACATCCAGAACAGAGTAAATAGGTAATGCTCAAACCCCATGTAAACGATTGTATATCTAGATTGTTATGTTAGTGGCACAGCTGTATTTTCTGCTGGAGTCAGTGGGCAGTTGTACACTAGAGTTTGAGTGATCCAGAGAATAATTCTTTGTGTCCACTTTGTCCTTCGATCCTTGTTAATGAAGTCAGCTCATTGTAGTATTCTGTACACATGTGATTTACATTTGCATGTTGATGCCTGTCTTTCTGTGGTTCAGTTTCCCCTGGAGCCGTCCATCTGGGTTGCAGTGAAGAGATGCTCGCCATCCATGTTGTGTGTTCAAGACGACTTTTACAGATGCTGAGCATCATGGGCAGGTATGAAATTCAACAGTTTAAGCCAGTACTACTGTGTATGTCAGTGTTGTATTTATTGGAAGATGGAACTGTAGTCCACTGAGTAACAGCGTTATTTTTTCCTCATAATCATGGAAATTAATACAGAAAATACACAACAGTGTGTTTAAATCTAGACCAGATATGGAGAAACAGTCGTACAGTATTTCACCTCAGTCAAACTTTCCATAATGTCTTGTAAATAATTACAGTTTGGAAAAAGTTAGCCTTTTATAGTTGTAGTATACAAACATTAATTAGTACTAAACATTCCTCAGGCACAAGTTGGAGGTGGCATCTAATGAGAACA